TGAGTTTGATGACAAGAGAGGAAGGAGAAGAGATTCATGGCCAGAGAGGAGGTAGAGGAGAGAGAGGCATTTTTTAGAGGGAGAGAAAAACTTTATTTTTAACCCAATTAGGTTAATCTCCTTATATATGTAGGAAAATTTTCAGTTAAGTAGACTTCATGGAGAAGTCTACTCGAAAAGTCTATTTCAGTATATTTTTTGATTTCGAATTCCGCCCAATTTATTCCAATTCCTGCCCAATTTGTTAAATAATTTTGATTTTCTGCTACGTTTTTTAAGTCTATTGGAGAAGTCTACCCGAGAAGTCTACTGCATACGTATGTTTACCCTAAACCCTAAATCAAATATTTTTGATATTAAACTTGTATCAAAACATTAATTTTCTTACCATTTTCACATTTTAAAGTTCAAATAACAATGATATGGACTCTAAATCATTAACCAAACCATAAACTATAATTCATATAGAATTTGGGTTTACCCTAACAATACCCTAAACTTTGCATCTCAAACCCGAACCCTTTTGAACTTCAAACCCTAACTATTTTCAACCTTATACTTATGAAACTTATAAGTTGATTTATTTTCATGAAATTTTATTTAATATAGATGCCAATTGTCTATGTTTTGGTTATGTTTATAATTTTTGTATCATAATATTTTTTATAATTTTAGTAAAATAATTTAAGATTTAATTATGTAGTAGACTTCTATTGTATGTTTTCTAGTTAATTTTTCTTTCTGCATTTAAATTGATTCATTTGTATGAAATTTTGTATTCTATACATGTCAAATATATATATATATATATATGTCTTATGATTGTAGACTTCTTACATAGACTTCCCGATAGATAAAATCGTAACTGTGGCAGCTGTTTTTTGTTAGTCACAAAGGACCGAGCTGTAATTTTACAATCCTTTTGGGTTAATTTGCCAAACATTCAATAAAGGGTCTATATATTTAGAAAAAAATCAACTTTTAGGTTATAATGAGTGCCCCTATTAATATTTACTATATTATCAATATGTCCAGATGAATTAAAATTGTTGAAACTATTCATACTTTTGCTTGGAAACACTGCAAAACTAAAAAGTATTTTGGTTGATTATGTAAGTATCCTCTTCCTTTTCAAGCTCTTTTTTTTTATATCAAAACAATGATTTTTATTCATCGAGAATTGTTAAAGTTGGAATACACAGTACTAGTACTAGAAAGCCAATAAGGCGGAAAATTTCATCTACAAATAAACGAATTTCTTTTCTAGCTTTAAGTTTTAACCCCCCTCCCCAAAAACAAAATCTAGTAAAAAAACAAAAGAACCCCTAAAAAAAGAAAAATATAACTAACTGGTGGTTGCTTCACAGGTATATACCAGTCAACCCGAGGATCTCACACTTTCATGGAACCAACCAAGTTTCATTTCGCGATGCTTGTCGTCACAGCTCGAGTTATTTGAGTCGAGAGGTTATGGAGGAAGACAAGAAGATAAAGATTTGTTGACATACATCCTTGCAAACTCTAAATGTTTAAAGACTGCAACAATCTGCTTGAGATCTACCTTCAGTGTTGAAGACAAACAGAAATTGACTGAGGAGTTGGAAATATTCCTAGGGTTTCCTCAACGTCTCTCAGTTTCGATTCAAATCCTACAAGAGAATGGAGATACATAGATTAGAGGAAAAAAATCCAACTTAAAATGTTAGAAAAGTTTGAATATCTTTGTTGGGTGTATTTGTTAGTCTTCTCTACAACATATATTTTCTTTCCTTTTTTTTTCAAATCTAACTAATTTCATTGTGGATCTGCAAGCTGTTTGGGTAGAACACACCATGTTTAACGACTAATTAGGGTTCATGAGAAGGTGACTTGCGTCAGAAGCAAACCTTTCCCATTCACTTTTCCAGGATCATCAAGATCATGAGCATGCCTTTACAAACAACACAAACCAAGAGAATAGTAAATGCTATATTTCGTGTGAATAAATAGTTATACGGAGATTCAAAGCTTAGAAAAAGAAAGAAATGGAATTAAATTAGCTGATTTTCCCCCTTTTTAGAGCATAAGTGGCTTTATCCTAATCATAAGTATGTGTGCAATAAACTTTTCTCTTGTTCTTGATTTCCAGAAGAAATTTGACATCTGAACATGATCTTAATTCTAATAAGTGGCCTAATCCTAATTATAATCATCGTTATTGAAACAAAACAATGTATCAGAACAAGAGATGAGACCATCTGGACACTGTGTCGATGCTTTGCCCGAAATAAAAACATGACAATATTTCAAAATTGTGTTATGCTAACGGCATTAATTTTGGAATCAATGGACCAATTACAGGATGGTGATTTATTTAATCTACGCTTTCTTACATAATCTTGGTTTTTATTATAATTTTTCATTTCAAATCCAAGATTTTTAATAAAGAAACATAACTAAAACTCACATAAACTAGCTTGACATGATCACCCAAAATGCACACAAATTAAAGAAACCAAATATGCTTTGGTAACAAAACATACAAATCACAGAACCAATCTCTCTAACCCAGTTTCATGTGTATAGCTCTGCTCTGTTTCCATAATATGAATCTACTTCCTCTTTATATGCATTTCTCCAGGCAGCTTTGAACATGTTTTGACAGTAAATCTTTTTTAGCTTTGGAAGAGCCTGAGAATTCCAACAAATACTCTTAAGTTCATATAAATCAATCACATCAAGTGATTCTAGCTTCCCAAAGGGAACATCATCGCTAATACTCATCCCGTTCTCAAAGTTTATTATTTCTTCCACGCTTGATGAAACGCATCACAGCTAGATCCCTGAGATTTTGAGCAAACAAGAGCCAAGTCAAGTCATTTGAGCCTTGCAAACAGTATATATGAATAGTGGAGAGATGCTTAAAGCCTAGCTTCTCAAAGGCAACATCATCTCTCTTTCTTTGCTTTCCCAAACTATCTTTTATCTCTGAGATGTTCGAGTGCAAATATCAAGGCACTGAAGACTACTTATTAAGGGTATATGCGTGATAGAGAATCTATTAATTCATTTTATCTCAATACCTTTTTTTAATCCTATCATATACTAACTATCGATAGTTAGGACAGATCTAAAAATTCATTTCGGATAATTGAACTTGCCGTGTTTAACACTACAGCAGCTTCTGACATACTCATAGACTTGGAATATTACTCACTAACCGCTCCACTTTTTCGATACTTTCCAGAATCAGAGCATTCCCTACACTTGCTATTACAATCTTTAAGTGCTCTAGCTTTTCCATTAATGTTGCACCAATGCAGAGTCAGGAACCAAAGTTCAATACCAATCCTTGGCATTAAGCATCAAGATACTTGCGCGTGAAGGTACAGTGCTGGGCGAATCATGTGAAGTTTGAGCCCTAGAGAGGCAATTGCTTGTAATACCATAAAACAGAGGACCTAATAAAATTTTCAATCCGTGGGAGGTAAGAAACAACAAATTAACAAAAAAGAGAGTAACGTTTAGAAATACAATACTGAGGCTTCAGATTATACTAACAGTTTTTAAATCCATCAACATTGATTACAAATGATTACATATTAATACTTACTCATGGCTCATGCATGATGCTTCGTCTACGACATCAGTTTTTGTCATATTAATCGAATGCATCCCAGAAATCAGTATCTAAAGATACATAAGATGAGGGACCTTCAGTTCGATTACTCCACACTCACCTATCTCCCATTTATCGCTGGTGAGCTTGAACTCAAAGACAAGTTTGTTGGAAGTCACCTCAACTTCAAAGTCAACTTCTACGTCAACTTCGAATGTGTACAGATGCTCTGTTAAATGTTGCCAAAAAGACTTGCTGCCTGAGATACGCTTAGACGTGAAATCATTCTGTTTTTCAATGACGATATAAAATATCTGCATACTTTCTTTATAACCAGCAACATCGTCACCCTTATAAACTAGAAAGATGCAAGCCTTAAATCTCTAAGATGTAGGAAGAGTTCTCTGATTCAACTTCACTGTTAGCGACGAGCTGGTGTCTGGATGATGTACGTAGGAAATTTTTCCACCTGGTAAGATGGAATAGTGACGAGCTGGTGTCTAAATGATGAGATCTCTCGCTTCTTTATTCAGTTTGAAGCAGTTGGTAAAGTTGAGATGTTTGATATGTGGATTGTAGAAGGAGCAATCAAGTCTCTCACAGGACTCACAGTTTTATGCTTCTACGACTAATAGTGAATCCAGAAGCTGTGGGAGTGATACCAGTTTCTTGCACCCAATAAGTTTTAGCCAGCCTAAACGAGATATTTTATGCAGCGATGGCGAAATCACTCGTATATCTATATCACTCAAACTGCAACACTGATGCTCTCAAGAACATGTGGGAACTCACTGAGTTTTTCACAGTATGACATTTGCAAGTCATCAAGACGAGGCCATGACCTGAGCGACGAAGGCGCTTCTTCTACCGAAGTTCCTCTGAGCTTGAGAGGTTTAATGTTTGTGGAGATCCGAGGTAAACTTTTCAACAAGGAGCAATCTGTGAGATCAAGTTCACTAAGTTCACCAAGAGATTCGAAGTTGATGTTGTTTGGTAGAATTTCTAGCTTTTTTGCATATATGCAAACGCAATTCCAACAATTTATGGAAGTTTCCAACATAGGAAGTGAGCTCCACAAGATATGAGAGATTACCAAGATTTAGAGTTAGGATATTAGTGGCATTTCCAATAAAGGAAGGGAGCTTCACCAGACTTTTGCATCCATAAAGAGACAATTTTTTCCAATAGACGAAGGGAGCTCCATCAAACTTGAGCAATGAGTAAAATCCAACTCTTTAAGATTAGAAGCATCTCCAATAGATGGGGGAAATTCCACCAGGCTTAAGCAATGGATAAGATACAACTCCTTAAGATTGATGGCAATTCCTATAGAGGATGGAAGTTCTACCAGATTTGATTAGTATCTAAAATTCAATTTTTGTAGATTAGTAGCATTTCCAATTTAGGAAGGGAGCTTTAAGAGACTCGTGCATCCACTGAGACTTAGTTTCTCGAGGTTGGTGGCATTCCCAATAGAAGAGGGTAACTCCACTAGACTTAACCAGCTCTCGAGTTCTAATTCTTGGAGACTAGTTGCCGTAGAGAGATCAGGAAGCTCTTTCGGATTCTCTGAATTACTCAAACTCATCCGCCTCAGATTTCGTATGAGCTCTACAAACAAAATAAGATAACCAACATGTTTAGTGAACAACATAAAAAAAACAATCCTCTCATATAATAATAACACACTTCCATGCCAACAAGCTACAAATTTATATAAAAATATAGAAAATTACTCTTCCGATTCCTAAAAAAAAATATGTTTTGAAGTTTAAACATACGAAGAAAACATATTAAAACTGAATAATAAATATATTATTTTTTATGCTTAACATTTCTCTATAAATTTTAAACTAATAGTAATTCATTAAATTCAAATATTTTTCTTGAAATTTACAATTTATCATTTATTAACACATAAAAATATATAGATGAAGGACTTTTACAAGTCTTAACTCAATCCCTCTCTAAATCAGATGTAATATAGATGAGGTTTAATCAATCCATCTAGGAGCTAGAATAAAAGAGATGCAAGGCAATAACTAAGTTTAACCATGTATGATGAAAAAAGATGATTCTAATAACCTAAGTGAACAAAGATGAATTGCAAAAGTGAAAAGCAATAATAACAAGACTAAAGCAAGCAGTGTAATGGAATTGAAAAATTATATTTGTTTTAAAATATTTTTCTTTTAAATTGTAGATAAACCAGAACATTATTTCAATTTTAAGAAAAATAAACCATTATATATTTATATTTTAGTAAATTATCATAGTTATATATTTATATAAAATTATTTTATGGTAATTATTAATTTACGATATTAATAAAACCATATATTTATATAGATTTTTCTAAAAAAATATTATCTTATCCATTTTATCATATTTTGAACAAGTCCAATTTGGAACTAGGAAAATTTATTAATTTATTTAACTAATAATATTTAATAGATAAGTAACAAACTATATAAATAATAATATTTAATTATTTAAGAGTTCAAAGTAATTAAACATCTACATAATATTATATATCCAAATTTTGGACATTGGTGAAAATAATGAATTATATCATCAATTAGAGAATATAAAAAATCTATATGGTACTTTCGTATTTTTACCAGGTTTATAGATGCTATATAATTTTTAAATTAATTTAAATAAATTCACATTACAATTAAATTACTTTATATTTCATAGAAAAATAATAAAAAATTATATTGTCAGTTATAGTATACTATTATATAAAATTAATATAAATTTAATTATATTATATAATATAATTTAAAAATTATATTAAATATAATTAAATAATAATTATTTCACTCCAGATTATTACCTAGTATCTTATAATACATAAAACAATCATATTATAAATATAAGTTACTCACTAACCAAACACGATACACAGAACTATACGTTATACAAAGTCCACTATTAATTATTGTCAACTTCACATTCACGTAACATACTTAAATATTCCCACCAAGACATATCACCTAATTAACAAGTTTCTAACGCAACAGATTCACCCTTATTACGAACAACAAATCACCCGTATGAACTCACCAAGACATCGCCACTACCATTATCAACCGTACGAACTACTCATAGACACAATGTGAGATCAGGCCACGATTTCAATTTCCCAGCATAAGAAAGCGTATAGGGAGTGAATTAGATCCGCCCTCACCTTAGCCTTACGACGACGGCTGAACGTTGGGTTTGAAAAGGTGACTTGGCGCACAAGAAACTCCGAGGTGTGTACTTGAACGTCATGGCTGGGCTTGCGGTTGCAGATCTATCCCTACGGTGACAGTGGCTACCTCTCCGGTGACAAGTGACTCGCGGTGGTGTTGACTGGTGGCGGGTGGTTATTTGCGACGACGGCGGCTCGTCACACACGTTGGCGGCGACGCTCCTCTCTTCTTTCTCTTTCTCAAGAACTCTCTCTCTCTTTTTCGCTCCTCTTTTCTCTCTCTTCCGCTTCTCTCTTCTCAGGTGTTCTTTCTCTCAAGCGGCTAGGTTTTCGGCAAGCGGGGAGGTAGATACATACACCATGCCCATGTTTTGGTTAAAGGCTAAATGGGCCGGAAGTGTAACGAAAAAGGCCCACTTAACGTTGGATCCGGGTATTACAATTCTTTCCGTTTGAACGGGAATTCGTCTTGAATTCTGCGATAAGGGTCTATATTGCAACTCCTTTACCCAACGGATTAAAACATGAAGGTAAAAGGAAAACTTGAACTTGAATAACTTGACTGCTCCATATATCAATAAATGAATAAATAATAAGAAAAAAGTAGGACTACATAGTGTTTGAAAAATAACTGAAATGCATCAGCACTCGCAAAAATCAAATCTAACAGCAAAAAGAATAACGAGGAAAGCAACAATGAAAGAGTGCAAAGAATCTAGTCCTACTCATGATATCTAAAAAACTCCAGCGCCCTCCCACTAACCACATGATGAACGGGGTGAACTGTTACTCCCGGCTTGGCATAAGGCTCGGCGGCGCATTAGGGTCATCAAACAGCTTATATTCAGGATCCTCCTGTGGGCCTTCTTCCGGATCTTCATCCATTCACTCTGTTCGGAGATGAGAATCAAATTACCTTCCTTCCCAAGATCTTCTGGTGCATCACTCGCAGCATGGAGCAGCTCCTTTATGCACGATGGAGTAGGCGACCACTTGGTTTCCGCATATGAAGGAGTAGGCGACCTCACATCAAGGTCTTCTTCTGCTCTTTTAGCATGGTACCCTATCTCAGCAAGTTCACGGTAGTCTTCCAGGGTCCTCCGCCTCGCCATTTCCTCTTGAATTTCGGTATGCAGCCCCAAATCGGTCGACATGTACTATGATGGGTTTAAAATGGTGGCACTTGTGCAATGACAGGGACCTAGTCTTCATGTTCCATAAAGGGCTGCATACCGAGATTCAAGAGAAAATGGCAAGGTGGAGGACCCTGGAAGACTACCGTGAACTTGCTGAGATAAGAGAGCATGGTAGAAGAGCAGAAGAAGACCTTGCTGTGAGGTCGCCTACTCCTTCATACGCGAAAACCATGTGGTCGCCTACTCCGTCGTGCGCAGAGGAGCCGCTCCATGCTGAGGGTGATGCACCAGAAGATTTTGGGAAGGAAGGTAATCCGATTCTCATTTCCGACACGGAGTCAATGGAGGAAAATCCGGAAGAAGACCCAAAGGAGGATCACGGATATGAGCTATTTGATGATCTTAATGTGCTGCCGAGCCCTATGCCAAAGCCTCGAGTCAGCCGGGAGTAACATTTCACCCCGTTCTTCATGTGGCTAGTGGGGGTGCTGGAGTTCTTAAGATATTAGGAGAAAGACCAGATTCTTTCCACCCTTTCGTTATTGCTTTCCTTATTATTTTTTTGCCGTTAGATTTGGTTTGCGAGCGGTGATGCATTTCAGTTATTTCTCAAAAACGATGTAGTCCTACTCCTTTCTTATTATTTATTCATTTATTGACATCCAGAGCAGCCAAGTTATTCAAGTTCGAGTTTCCCTTTCACCTTCATGTTTCAATCCGTTGGGTAAGGGAGTTGCAATATAGACCTTTGTCGCAGAATTCGGGATGAATTCCTGTTAAGAGGGGAAGAATTGTAATATCCGGATCCAACGTTAAGTGGGTCTTTTTTTGTTTGAAACTTGTTGGGCTCATTAAATCCTTTTAAATAAATCTTTCCGTTTAAGAACACACAATCCCCGAGAACCGGCTTTTTGGGTCAGAATCGGAGTAGCACCTTTCGTGCTGATACCAATTGTAACACTACGCTCCTGGCACTTCCAGAACGGCAACGTTTTAACCACTTGGATCGAACCCCAAAAACCTTTACTAAATAAAATCCGCCAACAGAACTTTAAACCATCATTTCTGCTCTATTAACATGCATTTGGAGAAAAAGGGAAACTAGGGGAAGAGTGAGTAATTTGGAATTACTCAGAAGGACGAACCCAAAACGGGATCCCAATACGAAATTCTATACCCGCACACCTAGAACGAGACTACACCAACCCCACGAGAACGACTCCCCAATATACCACAAAGATTGACTCCATAGAAGCAACGACCACTGCTAGTTCCTGCCACTGCCGAAACAAGCAATCGTCTATTCCCGCCACCGCTGGAACAGACCACAACGTCACATCCCCAAAAGACAACGCCACATCTCGAAGGTGAACATGATGTCTTGAACCGCCTGGATTTTTATGTAAACTTAGACAACAGGTACAACCCAGTCTCATCTTCTCGTAGAACTAAGTTCTCTATTGTGTTCATTGTGGCCGTGAACTTGCCTGGTTGTCATGAGTGAACTTGGAGATATAGCCTTGTCTTCATCCTCCTAGAAACGGCCGCATTTCACACTCACTAGGTGATTTCTTTGAGCTCCTGACATATACACAAGTATCATGTTATACTCTATATTATGAAAGCTACTCAAAATCATTAAAAGTATTTAACTTATCCTTTAATACTTACAGGGAGCACTGTACATCGTTTTGGGAGATGGGCACAGACGTTATGTCTTTCAGTGCTTTCATCAGACTCTGTTCGACTTGGTTGTCCCTTTGAACTTAGATCTTGGGATCTCCAATCACATAAGTGGGGTTTCCATCAAACATCCTCTTTAGTCATAGGCAATAAACCCATTCCCTTTGATGATTTCAAAACTTGATCTCTATTTAAACCTTTAGTGAACGGATCCACAAGGTTGTCAGCTGACTTGATGAAATCAACCGAGATTACACCCTCCCTCCCTCCCTCCCTCCCTCCCGGCTAGGGTACCGGCCAAGCGGAGAGGGAGATACATACACCATGCGCACGTTTTGGTTAAAGGCTAGATGGGCTCACCTGGGCCGGAAATATAACCAAAGAATGAAAAAAAAACCCAACTTAACGTTCGATCCGGGTATTACAAAATGTCTGAAGATTAGGAAACTCTCTCTCTCGGTTTCGTTTAGCTCCCAAAATTGCGATTGCGATTCTGTTTTTTTTGCCTTACAGGAAATTTATGGAGAAACTCTCTACAACCTTCCATCTTCCGCTTGAAGTTATTATTGGTTTTGTAGGACCGCGAAAATCCAGATTGAAAATCACGAATCTAAAAACCGATTTAAATCAATAATAAACGATAAAAATTTATAAAACATTTTAATAAAACCTTTAAGGAAAGACGATACACGGAGTCGAGATATAATCTCTTTCCATAATTCTTTAAATCTCCCGCAGTGTGGCGGTTTGAAGAGATTCAGAATCCCAGGATACAACCGTGTTGAGACTAAAGTCGCAGCACCTGACTATAGAATCTGCGAACTTAAAATTCTACGCTATACTCTCGAGACTCACCTAAGACTGTAGAGACGAGAGGGATTTGCTGGATTTGTGTTTGAAAGCTTATTGCTTTTCTGGATGAAGAATAATGAATGAGAGAGGTCCTTATTTATAGTGGAAGAGAGGTTTGTGATACAAGAAATTTTTCTTATTACTCACAACAGATAAACAGAAATATTTCGAATATCTTTGTTCCTTGTTCGACAAGGGTAAGGAAAAACGAAAATATTCCGAAAACCTTTATTCCTTGTTTGACAGAGAAAACAGAAATATTCCAAAAATCTTTATTCCTTATTTGACAAGGATAAGCGAAATGGAAATATTCCGTAAAATAATTCGACTCAATCAATAAAGATTTATCGATATTATACAAAATTATAAATGAAATATTGACAATTTTATTAAATAAGTCAATAAAGATTTAATACAAAAAAGAAATTCTTTTATGGTTTTGCATAATAGCCCTCATACTTCTAATATATAACAAATGCACATCTTGACTTTTAGTCTTGATTACATATCCATTTTGACCATTTATTTCTTATTCAAATTTACTTCGATTTTGACAAGTAATTACACTGTCTATTAGTGCTCATTACAAAGATTTCAAAGAATCCATAATTGCAAAAATTTAAGTTCCAACAATCCCCCACATGAATAGAAATTACTCTAAAACATATACAGACTCTACTAACTCGAAAGACTATGCAGACACATTAGGACTTGACACTAGGACTTTTCGAGAGTATAGGCGAAAAATTAACTGTGTATGATATAGTAGCATATTTCAGCCTTGAACTATTCATTGTTGATATCTGTCGAGTTTACTTGGCCAGGAGGTGAACATGATGTCTTGAACCGCCCGGATTTTTATGTAAACTTAGACAACAGGTACAACCCAGTCTCATCTTCTCGTAGAACTAAGTTCTCTATTGTGTTCATTGTGGTCGTGAACTTGCCTGGTTGTCATGAGTGAACTTGGAGATATAGCCTTGTCTTCATCCTCCTAGAAACGGCCGCATTTCACACTCACTAGGTGATTTCTTTGAGCTCCTGACATATACACAAGTATCATGTTATACTCTATATTATGAAAGCTACTCAAAATCATTAAAAGTATTTAACTTATCCTTTAATACTTACAGGGAGCACTGTACATCGTTTTGGGAGATGGGCACAGACGTTATGTCTTTCAGTGCTTTCATCAGACTCTGTTCGACTTGGTTGTCCCTTTGAACTTAGATCTTGGGATCT